AAAGTTCCCTTACACTAAAAATTGCCTAGAAGAGGAAAACAAATGCAGCTTCAGCGTAATTGACACACGGCCTATTTTAATCTGAGGGGCACCAAAAAGTCCACCCTCCCCGCCATTGTCCTACTGCATTCTGCATAGGGCCGCTTTCCCCAGGACAAGTGCCAACAGAAAGCGGTCCAGCCGAGGTTACCAACTCCAGATAGGTAAATTCCTGGAGATTTGGGGGAGGGGAGGGATCTCGGGGGACTTTAATGCCATCGAGCAGGATCCTACCGGGTAAATTCTGCGTCATTTTAATGTGCCGTGTTAAGACTTACGCTTTGCTTCGATTCCATTTTTAGATTTCTGATTGGTTCTTTGACCCTAATCCTTCCCCCACATGTTCCCCACAGAGCACTGCGTTCAGGGACACAAAACCTTCTAGTGTTCCCTAGCCCTAAAGAGGCCAGACTGTCCACTACCAGGGGTAAGGCCTTTTCTGTGGCAGCGCCATGCTGGTGGAATGAGCTCCATGAGGACACCAGGGCCCTGCAGGTAAAGGTTCCCTTGCTCGAAAGCCAGTTGAATCCGACTCGGGTTGCGGTGCTCATCTCCGTTTCCAAGCCGAAGAACCAGCGCTGTCCGAAGACATTTCCGTGGTCACGTGGCCGGCATGACTAAACACCAAGGCGCACGGAACGCTGTTACCTCCCCACCAAAGTGGTACCTATTTATCTACATCTTGCTTTCGAACTGCTAGGTTGGCAGGAGCTGGAACTAGAGACGGGAGTTCACTCCGTCATGCGGCACACTTGGGTCTCGAACTGCTGAACTACTGACCTTCCACAGCCTGCAGTTCAGCGCTTTAACCACTTGAGCCACCGCCTCAATTCCGTAGGGCCTGCGAGACGGAGCTCTTCCACCAGGCATTCGACCACACTTAACATCTGGATAACTTGGCGCCTGCCTGGGATTGTTTGTATCACCTAAGTCTGTACTAACTGACCCCTGTTAAGAAAGTATAGGATTATGACTGCCGTCGCATAGGAAATAGATATGCATTGCACTTTAGATTTTATGTGTTTTAAATGGTGTTAATACTTTAATGTAAGCCGCCCTAAGCCTGCTTCGGCGGGGAGAGTGGGGTATAAACCCAATAGATAGATAGATGACCAAACCCACCCTTTTCTTCTCTGGAGATTCACAATCTCACCTGGACACGGGCAAGCCCCAAATGCAGCCCCTGCTAGGACCTCCTCCCCACTGTCCCATCCACATTTTGCTGTCTAAGCCGAGGCTGAATCCAGACTGGCCAGGCAGCCAATCCCACCATGGTCCATAGCAGTGTTCCCTCTAAGCTGAGTCAATGTGAGCTAGCTCACAGTTTTTTAGCCTCTGGCTCACAATTTTTTGTCTTCGCTCAGGAAGGATGGCTTCCAGAGCAAACTATGCAGTAGCCAAATTGCTCACAACTTTAATGCCAGGAGCTCACAAAGCAGAATTCTTGCTCACAAGACTCCACAGCTTAGAGGGAGTATTGGTCCATAGCCACACACACCCAAGAAAAGCACCACCGTTTAATTCGTATTATTTACTTATGAATGCAAGAATACGGAGCCAGGTCATTGCTGCTGATATCTTATTTGAAGGAATGCATTCTGGGCAGACCCCAGGAGGGCGGCAGAGCTGGGGGGGGGGTGTTCGCGTTTGCAAGACTTCTGGACGTGTGTGGGAGCCCGGGGTGGGGAGGCGGACCAAGACGCCACAGTCCGAGCCTCCCACGTGCCCTCACCATGTCGACAAATGCTTTCCCCGTCGGCACTCTCTGAGACAAGACCAGAATTTGCGAAGCCTGCTGTGTGAAGTGTGAATGCCGCAGGAGGGAACAGGGCAGATGCTGTCATTCTTCCCTGTTTGGTGTCATGAAGTGCGCGGACTCTAATCTGGGAGAACCGGGTTTGATTTCCCCACTCCTCCACTTGCAGCTGCTGGATGACCTTGTGCAAGCGAGCGTTCTGTCGGAGCTGTCCTTGAAAAAAAGAGCCGTTCTTGGTCAGAGCTCTCTCAGCCCCACCTTACCTCACAGGGTGTCTGTTGTGGGGAGGGGAAGGGAAAGGAGTTTGTAAGCCGCTCTGAGACACCTTTGGGTAGTGAAGGGCGGGGTATAAATCCAATCTATGTCATTTTTCTCGAGGGGGGGGGGGGGGGGAGACAACACACAAAACAGAAAGAGAAACCAGAACACGGGAACTACTGAAGGGGGGTGGGGATGCCCACCACTGTACCACAGTCGGAAGGGGACTGCGCTGGCTTCCATCCTCCCAACGGCTTCTATATTGCATTGCTACACTGCTTATCGCTTATGCCTATATTACATTTAAACCTTCCGTTTGGTTTACTGCAGAGCCAATGTGGCATACATGGGGGGGGGATCTCT